ATATCCTCCTATTAACCTCTCAAATGGACTTTACACCACCTTATGAAGATCTACACATTTATTTACTCTGAACCAACAGGAGAAGCAAATGCCAGAGTTGTTTGCCACCTTCTTTGGTGCGTTTGGAGCAAGGGCACATCAGCTAATTTCTTTGTTGGGACTGTGCACGAGTAAATAAAGAAGTGTGCCCTTCAACAGCCTGTTTTCCATTTTCCCAAATGTTGCTACAGCAACTAGGAGACATCATGCAGCAATATTGTACAGGTGGGAGCAACGACACCGTGTTAAACAGCTTAGAGTGGGTTTTTTTCTTCTGCTGCTATTTAGTCTATGAGGTGTAGGCGAGAGAGGAAATATTTTCTAGTTGGATTTGGCTCTCATACTGCTTTACACTGTCCCAGTGTCCAAGTGGATCACGCAGCTGAAACAGGAAGGACCTGACTTTATCTCAATGTGAAGAGAAAAGTCTCTGAAAGGGTTGCAGAGTATGATCTCTGAAGAGCTTGTATTCATATATGTTTGCACAGCACCCAGCACAAGGAGGCGCTCAGTATCTTGCTACTGTAGTATAAATATTAAATAAAAAGGGACTGCAGGTTCGCACTTGTTGTTTGTGCAACTAGTATGTCAAAGCAGCCCAGAGACTTTTCAGTTGACAGTTTGTACTGTATCCATTCCTGCAGCATTCCGGTAATGGTGGGGATATTTTATTTCAGGCTGAAGTTTATGTTCTAGTTTAATATATACAGGTTCGTTCAGTGGTCCCCAACGTGGTGCCCCGCTCCCAGGTGAGCAGCGCGAGGGCTGTGCCGGCCCGGGCTAGCAGCGTATGGGCGGTGCCGACCCAGGCACGCAACACATGGGTGGCCCCGCCACTGGGCACGCGGCACATGGGGGCTGCCGGCACGTGGCACAGGCGTCGGCTCTGGACACGCAGCACGTGGGCGGTGGCGGCCCCGCCCCCGGGCGCATGGCATATGGGCTGTTCTGGCCCCGGGCGCGTGACGTGTGGGCGGCCCCACCCCTGGGCATGCAGCACAGTTGCGGCACCAGCCCCAGGCGTGCGGCGCATGGGTTGTGCCAGCTCCAGGCACGCAGCGTATGGGTGGCCTTGCCCCCGAGTACCCAGCGTGTGAGTGGCTCCGCCCCCGGGCACCCGGCAGCCCCAAAAGGTTGAGGACCACTGGGTTAGTTGAATGGTTCAGTCTAATGAAGTAATGAAAAATAATGGCTAGTATGACTTGTATATGTATTTTTCACCTGGGAAGCCTGAATTGTGTATTTTCAGTTCATAGGAGACTCATCATCGCACTTGGGAGGTGCACCTCTTCCCTGTGCCCCCACCAAAATTTTAATTGCTAAATGGGGTCCCCCCACATGCCCCTTCAAGCCCCTCTGAGTAGCCCTCCCTGCACCCTGTCCCCCTGCAGGCACCAATTGCTCCTGCTACAGTTTGGCTTCCATACCGAAGGCATGAAATAACATTTCTGCACTGTCTCTCTGACTTTATCAGTAACTGCAGAATGGGGAGTGCAAGCTCATAAATCTTGATTGAAGTGTCTGTGTAACTGCATGTTGCTGCTTGCTGCCAAGATGATATTCATGCCTGACACAACAATGGATTTACAAAAGAGAGCTGATGTCATGACTGTAAACAAACAGGGTAGTTTTCTGCAGGAGAGGGAGGGGGGGAACACATCCAGCAAGGTGCCAGGAGTTTTTAAACCTCTAACACAACAAAGTATTCCTGCATACCAAAACAAGCCCGAGCTTTGCTTTCGAAGCTATGCTCTCTTTACAGTACATAGACATGCTTGGTCAAAGTGAAGCCTCCAAGATTGCATCTTCTTCCAGTCAGAAGCGTAGTGGCACAGTATCCAAAGCACTGGCCTACAACTCAGAAGACAGGGGTTCTATTTCTGGCTCCACTATTAGCCTACTGGATGACCTGGGCAAGTCATTTCACCTGTCTGTGCTTCAGTTTCCCCATATGGAAAATGATGATAATGTCACCGATCTCTTTTGTAAAGCACTTTCAGACCTACTGACACAGCACTGTATGAGAACTGGGTGATATTAAGATGACTCCCCTGGCATGACTTAGTGCAGTGTCTCTTTTCCTCGACATACTCATTAGATGAGCTTCAGGAATGCTCAGTCCAGGTGGAATGCTGCCTAGTGCTACAAGTTGAACCTCTGTAGTCTGACGCATACTGGGCCGATAACATTTGTGGTCCTGGATGATTTTAGTTAGCCGGATGTCCACTTATCATGGGTGTGGCCAACTTTCCCATGGTTGCAGTAAATTTGTTCACAGCCACCAGTCCTGGCTCTCAGTGTTTGTGCGGTTATTTAGCTCTAATTTATTCCTAAATGTTGTCTCAGAGCCCAGTATGCGGGGGCAGTGTTGGCAATGCTGCGAGACAATATTGACCTCCTGTGGTTCAGCAAATTCTCTGGTTCGGCACCAGTCAGGGCCCAAGGGTGCCTGACTAGCAAGGTTGAACCTGTGTATAGAAACGCAGACTTCAGTTCTGAGACAAGATTCATAGTGAGCTATGACTTTTTCTGGGGAAGTTTGAAATGGTGGTAAACAGCAAAAACTACTAGATGAAGGGACTGGTGAAAAAGAGGAGGAAGGGAGCTTGCATCTAGTTACCTGCATCTGGTGAGAGGCAGTATTTGTAATATGTGGTCTTTCAAAACAATGCTATCCCCTGGGGCTGTATCTGGTGAATAAGCAAGGAAGAATTTTGAAAAATTCTGTTTGATTTAGCTGATTCATTAGAAAAGAATGAATTATGTGCAAAGAAGAGCATTTACACCGAGCAGTCGGCTATACCTGTATGTATAGAAACACACAACTTGTTTGAATGTGGGTAGGATAAATGTCTTTTGTAAAGATGCAAGAAAATACCGAAGGCAGCAAAGAATTTTAGAGATGCTGAATACACAGTGCCTGCTTTCAGATTGATTGATTAAAAAATATCTGTTAGATGAAACATTTATGGCCTTATGCCTATTGATTAAAATGTTTCCATCAAATCTATTGGAGCAAAAGTTTACACATTCTCTGACACAGCCACGGGGGTTCACACACACAAGAGTTTAGGGAGTCTGCTTCCTAATCCCTTGTTTGTTTTTTGTGTACAAAAAACAATTAGGAGCAGTGGTCAGTCTTTAGAGTCTCTTTGTGTTTCAATGTTGCTTGTACAATATGTAACACTTCAGTGAGAGGAAAGAAGAAATGCAGCATTTGTTACAAACATTGCTCATTTGAGCAATAAGGTAACATGGGATGCTGTATTCTCAACTGCACCCGATCCTCAGAGTGACAGTGTGCCAAGTACAAAAATGCAGGAGACTTCTGGTATCCAACTGATCCCAGGTGATACCTAAGTAGGCATTTCATAATGAAGTTTAGGTTTGCTTGGAGAGAGACTGATCGTTCTGAGTTGTAGACCTGTGCAGATACATGTAAATAAATATGTCTGCCTTTTGGCTACAGCATTGCATAGTTCCAGAAAGCTTAAGTCTAGGATAGGATTCAAATCCAAAAATTGAACACTAATATTTGAATAATCATATTGACAGGTCTGTCCCTATTCCAGCACTGTTGGGGTGGGATCGAGGGAGAGACAGGGTTTGTGCTTGTGGATATTGGCAGAGTCAGCAACTTGACCCTATGGAATTTAAGTGCTCATTTCACTCACTCATTGAGATATTAGATTATTCACACTTTTCCCCCTTTCTCAGGAGCATTCTAGTCCTGGGGGAATTCTGCAGTTTGGAGCCCAATTGCAGAATTTCCCCAGGACTAACCTTCAAATAAGAAGTAAATGGGTTAGTGTACTAGCCAGTGAAGACTTGGGATTGAATGAGTTTTAAATCCGAAATGGAAGGGAATATTTGGTGGTCTCAGTCTGCTGCTTTCTTTAGTAGATGCTTGTTACAAAAACTGCCATAGAGCAGTTCAGCACTATGGGCACTCTTGGCTCAGGACTACAACTAACAGGGCTGCTGCAGGTCAAGATTGTGGTGGATTGTCAGAGCTGTGCAAGAGGAAGTTTGCATGGCACCTGTCTGCATTCTTTCTGGCACTAGCCAATACTGTTTATTGGGCCTTCGTTTTGATCAGTGTACAATTCTTGCTCATTTCAGCTCTTTAAAAGCCACATTCCCAGATGAGATTGTAAAACTAGCTTTTTCTTTTCAGTACCAAGGAGGATATTTCAAAGGGCCATTTGGTCAGTTAGCACCAAACACTATGTCTGCACAGCAGTGCTATTTCAAAATAATTGACGTTATTCCAAAATAACATAGTGTGCATCTACACTACAAGCCTTTATTTTGAAATCATGTCGAGCTGGAGGACATCTTACTCCGACTCCTGGTAACCCTCATTTCACGAGGAGAAAGAGAAGTCAAAGGAAGAGTGTTCTTCCTTCAACTTCCTGCTACGTAAACAGCTTCAAAAGCTGAATTAAGCTATTTCAACTTTAGCTACACAATTGACATAGCTGAAGTTGAGTAGCTTATTCTGACGTTAGCCACACTGTGTAGCCGTACCCTAAGGAAGAAAATTGGTTTTAGTCAAAGTCCAATCCCCAATAGATAGCTGTTTACCTGCCTATAAATAGCATAGGCCATGGTCTTGAGGAGAAGGAAAATAACATTAGAAATCTTGAATTGCAAAAGGACCATGCCTGCATGCCTCTTGATACCTGGGGGATAAATATTTGCCTTCCTTTCCACATGCATTCCTAAAATGATTATGCAGCAAAGGTTAAGTTTCCTCATACTTGAATCCACTGCCACTTCATACTACCAACTGTTACAGGTTTATAAGGAAAGTTAATTTTTAGTTCTCAGTATGTTCTCACTTAGAATGGACAAGTGCAAAAGAATACGTGATCACAGACAAAACCTTGCAAGCTCAACTCCTGTGATGTTTTATACAAATTACTAACAAGGTTGTTTCTTTGTTCTGCCTCTTGTAGGTGGTCACTTCTTTCACCGCAACTCTCTGTCTCCTCGGAGCCTGGTCTATGAGAGTGAATTCTCCACACTCGAGCCTGCCTTGGACATGTATGATGAGAACAAAACCTGAAAGGAATGTGTGTTGGTTTCGGTTTCTTCCTTTTTTTTGTTGCTCATTCCTGTTGTTGTATACTCCTTCCATGGGTGTCCTTTTGTCTGAAGAAGAGCTGCTTTTCCCAGAATATAAGCCTGGCTTCCAAGTTACAAAGATGAAGCTCAACTATGGTTGTTTCCAAGGACATCATCTCTGGGCCAACAATGTGTGTACACAAAATTGGCTGTTGTAAGTTGCAGAATTGGCGTGCAAGCTAGCTTTGTCAGTCCAGCCGAGTCTGTACTAAAGAGGGGTTGCCCTGATCAAGAGTTATTTTTGTACTGCAAAAGTGTGTCTTGAATAAGCACATGATCTTTCCATTGTTTTAATCGTGCGCATGTTGGTTGACTATCAAACAAGCTACCTGATGGCAAAGGCAATTGCAAGTAAAGACACTTCATTTTTCTTCGGTCTCCCCATGAGATTATTGTGATGTGTCCCCTGTCTAAGAGGACCTGTAGAAATGGATTGACTTTCCTATTACCTATTTAACTCTGGGTAGTGAAAAACAGGTTGGCATTAAAGCTCCAGATAGGAGCTGTGTGTGAAGCATGCATGAAAGGCTTCCAAGTAACCCAGTGCTTCAATTGTTCAGTTTCCACTGAAGTTGGACAAAGATTTCCTGTACAGAATGCAACTTCAGCCTTTCTTAGCCCCGCTGCCAAGTGAATCTCTTGACAACAGGGATGTTGTTGATGTTCGTGGGCCCAGCATTTGATCCTCCTTAAAATCATTATATTTCTTGGGAAACGCACAGGTATGTGGATAGTTATCCTCTCTTGATTTTTTTAAAAAATCCACCAAGTTTTTTCACTGAGATTTTTTAGAAGCCAACATGTTGTTGTTATACACAGAACAAAAAGTAAGTTTCCAACCCTGTTCTCCCACTGAGACCTGCAACAGTTAAATAACAAACTCTTTCTCAAGCGCTGTGCCCTTTCCTGTTGACATCAATGACATGAATGCAGAAAGCAGAAGAGTAAAGGAAAGCAACCATGCAGTTTTGACACTTGGAGGAAAAGCAGTTTTTACCAGAACGTGACAAAAAATGATTGGGAAATGAATATTCTAAAGCTTCTAAATGGGTAATGCAGAAATAGAAAACAAGATGTTGAGGTTTGTTTGTTTTTAGTAAACAGTGTTCCTTTAAAAAGCAGCTCTGGAGAGTAAGGCAGTGCACCTTTTCCTACTGAATGCTGTGTAATTGTTTAACACATGTCAATATTTTCTCCATTGCAGTCTGAGTTACTGTAGGTGTAGAAATGCATTTGTGTCCTTCATAATGTGAACAAGATCTTCATTCTATAATTGTAATTTAGAACAAATGGCAAACTGAAATCTCCTGTTATCTTTGAATCTAAACAGCTTCTACTGTACAGGGAGAAACTTGCCTTCCTTTTAATCAGTCCTCTTGGCCTGTATTCTGACTTGGAGTGTGGTACAGTTGTGACCTACCCAGATGTTAAAAACAAGAAAAAAACTCTGAAGTGAGGAAGTGAGCTGCTAGCAGAGCCAGCTTGGGCTGATGCAGAGTTGTATTTAAACTAATCATTCTAGACTGGATAGTGCAGAGTTTAAAAAGTTTTATCTTTTACAGCACCTTGTTTGTATTTGCCAAATAAATTTTATTGTAGTCTAATTTTACAAACATTTTTTTAAAAACCAAACTTTTTAAGAAGCACAGTTTTAACACACCCAGCATTGTGGCTATGAAACTGAAGATTGGTGGGTGATATCACTATATCACTGTTATCAAGTAAGAGACCCACAATCAGCATTTTTTGTTGTTCCTCATTTAAATCTGAGGATCAGGGCAGATACTTATTGTGTGATCACCCCTGAAGCTGGTCACCCAAACTCCTTGAAAGTCTGTCTGAATTCAGGCACAGTGAAAGGCTGATTGGACAATTCTGGTTTTCATTCTTGTAGCTGAGTGATCATTGCATGCCGATCTGTAAAAACAGCACGCTTCCCAAACCAGACAAAGGCACAGAAATACAGTTCCCATCTTTTAAGTACAGAGTGACTTTTAGCAGGCTTGTAACCGCAAGGCAGGATGGGCAGGTTACAGCTGGCTTGAGCTAGGCATTCTCACAAATTGTAAAGTTTACCTGCATCTAAGGCCTTGACTATGCAGCAGAATCCAGCCACCAGTGTACAGTGAAACCCAGTGATGGGAAACCTAGTCTAGTGAAAGCGACGAGGAGTCCTGTGGCACCTTATAGACTAACTGAAGTGTAGGAGCATAAGCTTTCGTGGGCAAAGACCCACTTCGTCAGATGCATGCTTATGCTCCTACACTTCAGTTAGTCTATAAGGTGCCACAGGACTCCTCGTCGCTTTTGCAGATTCAGACTAACACGGCTACCCCTCTGATACTAGTCTAGTGAGTGGGTCGCATGTGTAGCCCTCCTTCATGTCAATGGGTTGAAAATGGTTGTAACCAAGACGGTCTCTTGGGATACTTGTAGTGTGTGCCAACTGAACCATAGCAACACTTTGGATGCAGAGGTAGCGCACAGCTCTCACAGTCAATGTTGCGTGCAATCAGCACGCACCTCATTTTACGTGCCCTTGGCTTTACGTGTGCGTCACGTTAGTAATACTGGTAGGAAAAAACCCTGCACAGATGGGAGCCAGTGGAATAGGCAAATCCTCCACCTGGGCAATGTAGGCAAAATGTCTTGTAGGCCACACACAGAACCAGGCAGCTCACCACTGGTGCAAACCATAGTCAGGAAAAGTAGCTGTGAGCCAGTATTTACACTGGTGTGATTTACTCTGATTTTAAACAGTATTCAGATCTATTGTGCAAATCCTAGTTTATCCAGGTGCTTTGCCTGACTTGCTGTGAGAGGTGGCCTCAGCTCTATCCAAGTGGGCCACTGACAGACAGACAAAATGGGGGTAATTTTTCTGTATAGGCGAGGCAGCCAGAGCAGCACTCCAGAGAGAGAACACCTCCTTACGTTTGAAAGCAATTCTATTTCCAGTTCTAGTCTTAAAACCCCGTGCCCCAATGAACAATAACGCAAGAGGCAAACTCATCACCACTCAAAGGAGCAGTCTTTTTCAAAGTAATATTGATCCTCTGAACCCACTGATCACAAATTCTGAATTCCAATCAGTGCTGTTTTTCCTTCTGCTCAGCCCGTTTCGTTGCTCTGCTTCAGTTACAACGTAAATTAACTTTTTATGTTCTTGATACTTTTGACAATGTGGCCAACTCTTGTGATATTTGCTGCTTTTTCTTAAAGCTCCAGCTGCTGGAGTCATGTGAGTATGTGATACATCTCAGCTTACTGGGGTTTTTTTTTTTTAAGTGAAAGTAGATCCTTTGCTCCAGCTATGACAGTTTACAGCCGTCAAGGATCTGGCGCTAATGTTTCTAAGTCTCATGGTTGTGGAGAAAAGCTGGAAAAAAATCCTAAAGGGTCAGAGGGCAAATAAAAACTTCAGTATAATTTTTAAAATAATATTAAATCTCATGATTTTTTTAAAGCCATCTCAGGATTTTAGGGGGCCTGATTCATGATTTTTGAAAAGCCCAGGTTAGCAATTCTTCTTTAGTAATATACTGGTGCAGTAGCTAATAAAATAGGTTAGTTCTGGGGTGTCTTGGAAGCTAACACTTGTAAATAACACTCCCTCATTTGGAAAGCTGAAAGGAAAGCTAAATGCCAGTACAACTAGCTGATCCAAGAATGCATGCTCTGATATGTACTGGAAGTCCTGGCACTGGGTCATATT